ACCTTGTGTGTTGAGTGTTTTCCTACCTTCCTTTCTTAGTAGTGTGTTGTGCATGTGTGTGTGTGTGTATCATTCTTGACTTCTTTCCATCCTTAAGCCAATGCTATCTTGGGGTCTGTCTTCTCTTTGTTGCCCTCTGGGTGTTGTTGTTTTATGTGGCAGTCTCTTACTTATGCTTGGTAAGTGCTGTTCTTCTGCCCATACTGCATCGGCAAGGATCTTTTGTAGGGATGGGTTTCTTCTAACATATTCTTTGAGTTTTTCCTTCTATTGGAAGACTCTTACTTCTCCATCTATCTTGATCGATAATTTGGTTGGGTAGAGTATTCTGGGGTTTGCATTGTTTTCCTTCAAATTTTGCAATATGTTACTCCACTCTCTCCTCTTCTTCATAGTTTCTGCTGATAGGGCTGAACGTGTTCTTATTTGGGAACCTTTATAAGTGATTGCTTGTTTTTCCCTAGCTGCTCTCATGATTTTCTCCTTTTCTTCAAAGTTGGATAGTTTAATTATTATGTGCCTTGGTAACTTCTTGGGATTCGGTCTAGCTGGTGTTCTTTCAGCCTCCTGAATGGTTGCCTGATTTTCATTCATTAAGCTGAGGAAGTTTTCCTCCAAGAGTTCTCTCACTATTGTTGCAGTTGACTTCTTTGTTGTGTCTTCCTCTGGTAATCCAATCATTCTAATGTTGTTTCTCTTCATAGCATAGACATAGCTCTTAGGTTTTCTTCAGCTTCTCTGATGATCTTATTAGATTGTTGTTTGCGTTTGTTTAAGTCTCCTTGGATGTCCTCCAAGTCACTGGTGCGGTTCTCTGCTTCCTCCAGTCAATTCTCAAGATCCGTGAGTCTGTTACTGGTTTTTATTATCTCCTCCCTAAGCTCTTGCATTTCCCTTTGCTATATGGACTTTATCTCCTCTATCATTTCATCCTTTTTCTGTATTCTTTCCCTCATATCCTGTATGACTCCAAGCAGCTTTCTAAAATTTTCTCTCTGTGGCAGATCAATGTCTGCTTCTTCTATGCACGTTGTTTGGTTCAGAACATCTTCTGCCATTGACTTTTGTTTCTCCTGTTGTTTTTTGTTGTTGTTGAGGTTGTTGGGGGTGATGGCTGATTTCATTGCATTGATTTAGAGGAGCCAGGTTCCATTTTCCAGGGTGTGGAAGATCACTGGCTCTCTCTGCGAGACTTGGAATGCTTCTTGGAACTGCCTACAGCTAACTTCTCTATGGAATTAGACTACCACTTTATCCTCTTGTGGCTTCCCTCTCAGGGGACTGCCCCAGGAGGTTGTTGAGTTGCCTGCTTTGGAGTAGAACACCACGAATGGTGGGCAGAATTGCTCTGGCCAAGTAGGTCACTGCAAAGGTTGGTCAGTGGTTCCTGAAGCAGCTTGTAACGTTGGTGAGTGTTGGCTGAGCTGTCTTAAGCCATGTGAGGCACTAAGATAGGTGGGAGGAAGTTCCCTCAGTCACGTGGGACAACAGAGGAAAAATAGGAGCTCTCCTAGCCACACAGTCAGGAAAGCCCCCAGTAAGAAGTTGGGCAGAGTATCCCCTGGTGGAGGTCGGCCTGCCTTTCCCCAGCCTAGGGCTAAGCTACACAGGGTGGAGCTCACCTAACTGGGTGTGGGGCAGCGTAAATGCCCTACACTGAGGGGAGTGATCTGGAGGTTGGCAGTGGAGAGTGAGAGAACAGAGAAGAGACAAAGAGGAGGAAAAAAATTAAAAACTAAGCCCGCTGAGACTGTGGGGGGATAGAGGGAAGAGAGGGAAACAAAAGTAACAATGTTGGCTGAGGCCCAATCCCTAGCCGTGGGGTTGAAAGGATTTAATCCCTGTCCCGAGGTGGCAGTAAACTGTGGCTGTTGAGATTAAGCCCCTGTGCCTGTCCCAAATGGTCCCAGCTCTGGCCGAGACAGTGTCAGGGGTAGGGTCAAACCCTAACTGGCCTACACTGTGTTAAGCCACAAGTCCCCAGCCCCTCAAAACCTTGTGGATCTGCACCTACTTATCTTTATGATGCTCCTCCTACGATCAGGCAGTGTTAAATTTCCCTCTTAGTAACTCTCCTGGACTGATTTCTGCATAGTCCCTCTGGTATATGTTACTCAGTCACCATCTTCCCCGCCTTCCTGGATGTTGTAATTTTTAAAAACAAAATGGTAATGATTTTCTTTTCTTTTTATTCTGATCATTTTGTTGGGGGCTCTTACAACTCTTGTTACAATCCATACATCAATTGTATCTGACATATTAGTACATATATTCCATCATTCTTTTTTAGACATTTACCTTCAATTGAGCCCTTCTGGTCAGCTCCTCCCCACCCCCACCCCTCCTGAAATATATTTCTTAATGTAGGGTCACAACCAAATTGCTTGAATCTGTTTAATACATAGACCAATGCTCCTATTTTGTGTATTTATTCTAAAATGAATTCTTCACTAAGTGAGTACTATTTAAATAAAGTTTCCTTTTTAAAACTGAAGCCATTGGAGAGAACTACAGTTCCCCTGTACTATCACTCCCCCTCCTCAAAAGTAATCCTTATCAACAATTTGTTGTATATCTTTTCAGATTTTACATATATATACACATACATTTGTGTGTATATCTATAGAAACTATTTAGTATTACTTATGTTCATTTAAAAAAGCTAAATTACATGGGCTCCTAACAGAAAACAGTTGGCACACTCAGACTAGAATCATTTGAAAATAATCAATAAAATGACTATCTATAAAGGTATAGGCATGTGATGATATCATAGAGGTAGGCAGGAATTAGACTATACCAGGTCTTATAGGGAAAGCTGAGGAGTTTGGATTTTACCTCCAGTGCAATGGACACTCACTCAAGTGTTTGAGGAAGTAGCACAGTAATGAGATCTCATTTAGGGTTTCTCAAGTTTGCTATGGCTGCTTTGTGGAGAAAGGAGTTGGAGAGAACCAGAGAAAGAATGGTTCAGAGGTTGGAGTAGTTATTCTGATGAAAGATTATGATGACTTGGACCAGGGTTAGAGAAGAAGAGATGGAGAGAAGGGAGAGAATTAAGAGCACAAATACCCGAGTTGATTGCTACTTTTCCTTGGTCCATGAGAAAGGAAAACAGAAGCCTGAAGTCTTCCTCATTTATGCAAGATGTGAATGTGCCACTGCACTTGAAAAAGAAATGTGCCTAACCTTCTCCATGCAGGAGAGTAACTGGCCAAGGTCCTATCCTAGGACAGAGGAAACTATAGTGAGGCTGGGTGTAATTCATGATCAGGTCAAGAGGACGAGAAGGAAGGCAAAGAACACTAGCAAACCAAGCTCACGGCCTTGGACCATCAAACGTGCTCGGTTATAGAGTAGGGTTCATGGGTAACCATGAAGCCCAAAAGCATCATCAGAGATAAAGTGCTTCAAGGCAGAGGAATGGCCAGGAAATAGCCTGGTCCCTACTTAGCCACACATCATTAATAGCTAGCAATATAACTAATGCTTAACACATGCCAGCTACTATACTACACAGGCCATGCAGATTAGCCCATTTCATGCTCTCAACATCTCTTTGAAGATAAGCAAACTGAGCCTCAGCAATGTTGCTTACATTGCTCAAAGCCACAGTGGTAATGGCTATGTGAACCTGGGCAGTCTCATGTCAGGGGCCTGGCTCAAGAATTACTCCAGAACCACAAACTGGAGGTCCCATTTAGAGCATGCTGCCATCTTCTGAACAATAGTAATAAAAGGCAGTGTGTACAGGCAGCAGGTATGACCTCAAGGGAAAACACCCTGCTCAATGCTGATGACTCACTTCATTGTCCACCTCCTCCTGTAGACAGGTAGGTCAGAAGACCTGGTGCTATTCGAGAAGACACTTATCTTTATTTATGTACTGCAATCCAGTTGGTTCTGACTCAGCACGAGTGTGTCAGTCTTTCTGGGAATGGATAGCATGATCTTTCTCCCAAGGAGTGGCCGGTGGGTTTGCACCCCCACCTTTGTCGTTAGCGTCCAGCGCCAATTGTCACGCAACCACCAGAGCTCATTGCACTTTGAAGTTTTCTCCAAAACTTTGATCCTACTAAGATCAGTGTGCAATCCCACCACAGTCAATCCCAGAACACTTTCTTCTTTCTCTGACACGTTGTTGTTATTTCTCCATTTCCCCCCAACTTCCCATGCCATGCCCCCAGATAACTATTAATCAAGTTACTGTCTAGATGACATATACAGAAAATCATAAAAAACACAAAAAGGAAGCAAACAAAACAAACAAAAACCATCCACAGTGATATACCTAAATAAATAAATAAATAAAACACCCAGAGGGAAAACCTCAATCAAAAGAAAGCCAAAAAGTGTTAATAATTGAAATAACTTTAAAATAGATTAAAAAAGGAGGTCAAATGATAAGGTGTTACATTTTAACCTAACCAACCACATCTGCCAGAATCACCTTTAGCAAGGCTATTGACATCCCTCGACTAGGGTCGGAGAGGATTCACCAGCGGTTTTATCCATAGGAGGACTCTGCAGATGGATTTTGGGCTTCCAATGTCATCCAAAGCCTTCTGCAAATCTACTCCCAAATTTTTAAGAAATTCAAATGTCTACACAGAGATATCTCTTCTCTATAAAACAAGAGGGTTGGACTAAATAGTCAGTCTCAAAGGTCTTTCCCAGCTATGAAATCAATGTTCTGGATCTAGAGTTTCCCAGCCAGTAGCCAGAGGCTCAGATCAGCAAGATAACCAGTCATTCTAATCAGCCCAGAAAGCTCTGAGCATTGACTTATCTCACTCTACTTTGGGCCACTGATTCCCACAGAGCACACCCCTTCCACTCCAGGTCAACAGAAGGGCATAAGGAAGACCGAGATGGAATCAAATCAACTCCAAAGGGAATTGAGTAAAATCCCTGAACATGCTAGGAGAGAAACACACCCGCAGGCACACAATTAAAGTGGGTTGAGCCTACCTTTGGCTGATGTAAATCTTCTGCCCTAGGGAGAAGCAAAGATGCTGAAAGATGGGAAGGTCTTCAGAGTGGTCAAGAAGAACTGCTGGGATCCAGATGTCCGAATTAGAGAGATGGACCAAACAGGTACTTAAAATGAGAAATCCTGTCCATATTTGCATCTAATGAAATCACAATGCCTGACCTTAAAGTGCCACTTTACATGGTAACACTGACTTCTTTCTCTGCCAGGCTAGGGTGATATGGGGTCTTGTATTATAACGACTTTAGAGTGGAGATTTTGTTTTATAAAAAAACAAGTGTGCCTGGTTTAAAATAGACTCTTGTGACATTAAAAAGATAAAAGTGTCCTTTTATTATTTAAAAACAATTTTAAGTTCAAAGGTGGTAGCATTGTTAGTCACTGTATTAGACCAGGTTGACTAGAGAAACAAATCCAGGGACATTCATATATGTATAAGAGAGACCTTTATATCAAGAATTATATATCAAGCAAACATCCCAGCCTGGTACAGATCAAGTCCATAGTCCCTCTTCAGACTCACGCAGCCACACACAATGCTGCAAAATGCAGGAAGATCACGGGACAGTGGGTGCAAAGTCTTGCAGATCCAATGGCAGTGAACGCATCTCCAGGGCTCTGGCTTCCATCAGCATAGCTCCATGTGGCTCATCAACAGGAAGGTGAAGCAGAGATAAGAAGGGAGGTTCCCAGGACCCTTCCCATGTGGAGGTCACACACACAAGGTGGTACCATCAGGCTGTGACCTGATTGAGAGGCTAGACTCCACCCCTTCACTCTATATATCAAGTTGACAAGAGATTATAAGTCACAGCAACCTTATGTAAAACAGAAGGAACCACTGCCTGGTTCTAGCCTCTCATGACAATCGCCAGCATGATGGAGTCCATTTTTGCAGCTCTTATTCCACCCCCACCCACCACTCACCACCCTCCTTTGCTGATCCTCGATTTCACCAAACACGATGTCCTCTTCTAGCAGTCGAAACGTTAGTGCCATGACACACAAGCCACCAGAGTACAGCAAAGTTAAAGATGCTTGATGGTCAAGTGTGTGTTATTTCCTTAATACAGACCCAATCAATAAAGCAGTAAACATGATCGTTCTTTGATTATGAAAGCCACGTGCCTGCAGAGGCAGCCTTAGAAGTCCACCTATTTCAAGAGCTTGTTTGGTGCTCCCCCAAACCAAAGTCCCTGACATCGAGTCGAGTTCAACTCACAGCAACCCTATACAAGGCTGTAAATCTTTATGAGAGCAGATAGCCTCATCTGTTGCCCAAAGAGCAGCTGGTGGATTTGAACCCTTGGCTTTGCAGTTAACAGTTCAAAACTTACCCAATAGTGCCACCAGGATGCCTTGGTTCTGGTGCACAGTAAACAGAAAATGCCCCCTAATACATAATAAATATGTTGGCAGGTTATGGAATTGGTAGAAATGGTAGGTGGCATGTAGAAATGGTAAACCAAAAAACCAAACTCACTGCCATCGAGTCTACTCCTCTCAGAGCGAGCCTGTAATACTGAGTAGGACTGCCTCTGTGAGTTTCCAAAACTGTAACTCTTTCCAGGAGGAGAAACTTCATCTTTCTCCTGCAGAGAAGCTGGTGGCTTCAAACTGCTGACCTTGAAGTTCACAACCCAATGCATTACCCACTCCACCAAGAGAGCTCCCATGGAAACAGTGGTAATTAGAACAACATAAGCATTGATGTGTACTTTCAGAATCTCTACAATGAAACCAGATCAGAGAAGAGAGAAGAATTACAAAAGGTCCATTTCAGAGCTGAATTGCTAACCATTTCCAGCAACTGCTTTGCATTTCTTTTTTCATAGGAAGAGGATCCAAAAAGTGTGTGAGGAAATTCCATTCTCTTTTAATTCCATTTTCCAGGAAGTGTCTGAAGGTCCATCATTTTAAAAAACCATGCAAAAGGAAAAGTGATTAGATGTGTAAAGCACCATCCCTTTTCCTCCTCTAGGGCCTCAGAGCCTTCTCAAAACCAGAGTGGGGTGTGTGTGTGTGTGTGTGTGTGTGTGTGTGTGTAGGGGTGGGGGGTGAGCAGAAGTGGGGGTACTGAGCTCCCACCCAGGACCCAAGCGGGTCTGATGGTTCAACAATCCCAGCACTCCCTAGGCAAGCACTGGCTGAGGCCTTATGAGGCACTGACACATATTATCTCACTTCATCTTATTATTTTCAACTCTCTCCGCTTTGGATTGTAGCAAATGACCAAGTGCTGCCAATGACATTTCCCTCCCCAGTGAAGCCTTCTAGGGTCTTCTGTTCTTGGTCCCCATCCTTTTATTCCCTTATCTCCACAGGGGAAGTGAGATGTTGTAGTTAAGCGCCTGGGGCCAGACTACCTGAGTTCAAATTCCAGGATTGCTACTGACAAGCTGTGTGTTCATGAGCAAACGGTTTAACCTCTGTTCTTCAGTTTCTTCATCTGTAAAATAGGCAGAATAATAGATCCTATTAGAGTTGGTGTAGGATGAACTGAGGAGTGTGTTTAGATGATTAAGACCATGCTGGGCAGAAAGAAAACATTCAGCAGGCATTCATCATAATGGTTCTTTCAAATACAGCTAGAGAACAAAATGCTAAGAACCAAAGATGCCCGTGCACTTCATTTGAGCTGTAGCTGTAACCCTGGCTTTCTGAGACCAGCAACCTAAGTCTTACTCCAATTTTTTTTCTCCTCAAAAGGGCGAGTCCTTGAACTGGCATCATATTTAGCAGAGACCCTTGTTTTTTTGCTGTAGTTCTAGGGAGTTTGTCCTATTTCACCTTCCCTTTGACCTCAATATATGAGGAAGCTTCAAAAAGTTCGTGGAAGAGTGGAAGTAAGAGATAATGTAATTTTTCCGGAAACTTCTTGAAGCCCTTCTTCCTTCTAAAACATAGATGTGAGGGCATACCCTCCCCCCAAAACGATGCTCATTTGTTTTTATGACGTGAAGGGGACAGTGCATTTGAAGTTTGTTCTACCAGGTCAGACTGTTAATCAAGCTTTCTATTGAGAGGGTTTGAAAAGATAGCATAACAGTGTTCAATAAAAAAGGCCTGATTTGTGGCAGATGGGGGACTGGTTTTGCCACCAGGACAATGCATCTTCTCATGCAGCCATCTCAGTGTGCCAGTTTTTGGCAAAAAACAGCATGTCTCTCTTGGCCCATGCACCTTACTCCCCTGACCTCACTCCATGTGACTTCTTTTTGTTTCCACAATTAAGAGAGACATGAAAGGACAGCAATTTGATGATGTAGAACAGGCGAAGGAACAAAAATGAAGTAGGTGCTGTCAGCCATCCAAACAGATGAGTTTGAAAAATGTTTCCAAAAGAACTAGGAGGCAAAAGACACTTAGAGAGGTATAAATATAGGTATGTGTATGTATAAATATATTACTATGTAACAATAGGGATATAGGTCTATGTATCTATATTTATTTGTTAAGTATCAAGGTAGCTGACTAACATTGGACCTCTATTCAAGTCCTCCCTCAATGCAATAACACTTTATTCTAATATCCTGGCATTATGTGATGCTCATCTTCCTGACACGATCACTGAAGTAAAAAAGGGAGCATAAGCAAATATGGTGAAGGAAGCTGCTGGTGTCTAGCTATTAGAAGATATAGCATCTGGGGTCTTAAAGGCTTGAAGTTAAACAAGTGGCCATCTAGCTAGGAAGTAACAAAGCCTACATGGAAAAAACACACCAGCCTGTGTGATCATGAGGTGTCAACAGAATCAGGTATTAGGCATCATAAGACCCAAAACAAACAATCATATTGATGCAAACGGGGGTTGGGGGGAGTCAGAGTGGAGACCCAAAGTCTATCTGTAGACAATTGGACATCCCCTCACAGAAGGATCACAAGGC